TTTGTTTTCTGCATCTCTGAGTCTGTTTTTGTTTTGTTGTAATCTTTTGTTTTTTATTTTATTAATTAAATTAAAAAAAATTTTGGCCTCACTGTGTGGCACATGGGATATTAGTTTCCTGACCAGGGATCGAACCTGCACACTCTGCATTGGAAGGTGAAGTCTTAACCATTGAACTGCCAGGGAAGTTCCATCATCAGGAGATTATTCCAGGAAGCAGGAGTGAGAGAGAGGGAGACAGACAAGAATGGAAATCCACTAGAGAGCCCATTATGGATTGGTTACCACTGTGAACCAACTGTCATTCCTCTTGAAGATCCCTGAGCAACGATGCAGAGTATATGCCTCAGACAGGCTCTCCAAAGACAGGAGCCTGCGGCATTTATTAACCAGTTCCCATTTCCACCAGCCATGGATGCCCCAGGGATAACTTGCCCGCTGTAGAAGCTTCCATCTGGGATGCTTAAGAAACACCCTAGGGTGTAAAAGTAGAGAGTAGTAGGGGTGGGTGTTTTCAGTGAGACCTCAACAGCCATGGGAACTATCCGCTGCACCTGCTGCAGAAATCCATGATGGGCCAAAGGGAGGTGGCACAGAACACAGAAGGCGTCTTCTTAGAGGGTTACTCAGATTGGGGACCTGAATAGGTGCAGTGAGCAGAAAAAATTCAAGAAATGCAATTGGACAAGTAAGCTGGGGTCAGAGGATCCATTGTGAAGAAACTGATATGCCAGGTTACAAAGTTTAAACTTGATTTGCCAGTCTCTGGAAGTTAATGGTGCTCAACAAATATTTATTGAATGAATAAATGCTAATGACAGATGCACCTGGGCCAAACCAAAGCTACTGAGATTTAGAATCTAGAAAATTAGCTGTATAACCTCTAACCTCTTTGACCTTCCATTTCTCTCTCTCACTACCTTGACAATAACACCTTCCTCACAGGGTTGTGAGGAAGTCACAGTCACCAGAAATTAGATGCAATCAAAGCCATATGGCTACTAGAAATGTGGACTCAATAAATGTCAGCCACTCTACCCTTGCCCCCATGATGACCCAAAGCCAAGTAATAAAGCTGAACTATCCACCAGCTAGAGACAATGAAGTTTGCTCCTGGGATCTGTTTACAGAAGATGAATGTTGGCATTTCTGGCTATATTGGTCCTCGTGGAAAAAAATTAGTGGTATTGGTAACCACTTCCTTTGACCAAAAGGGAATCCAACTGCTGCTTTAATTAAAGAACAGAGTTAAAACTATCCTCCCAGGGAAATTACAAATTCAGAAATTGATGCTTATAGGAACTTGTAGGGTTTTTTCCTTTGTATTTAAATATGGAAACACCCTCCAATCAATATGCTGTTGACTGGGGTTATCTGTCTCTGCTATGTTGCATTTCTCCCCCATTCTCAAAGCTTTTCTTTTTTTTGCTGCATCATGCAGCATGCAGGATCTTAGTTCCCTGACCAGGGATGGAACCCACATCCCCTGCAGGGGAAGCTCAGAGTCTTAACTACTGAACTGCCAGGCAAGTTCCACCATTCTGAAATCTTGTTGTTGTACAGTTGCTCACTCGAGTCCAACTCTTTGCGACCCATGGACTGCAGCACACCAGGCTTGTCTGTCCTTCACCATCTCCCAGAGTTTGTTCAAACTCATGTTTAATAAGTCAGCAATGCCATCCAACTATCTCATCCTCTGTTGCCCCCTTCTCTTCTTGCCCTTAATCTTTCCCAGCATCAGGGTCTTTTCCAGTGAGTTGGCTCTTGGCATCAGGTAGCCAAATTATTGGAGCTTCAGCTTCAGCATCAGTCATTCCAATGAATATTCAGAGCTGATTTCATTTAGGATTGACTGGTTTGATCTCCTTGCTGTCCAAGGGACTCTCAAGAGTCTTCTCCAGCATGACAGTTCAAAAGCATCAGTTCTTCAGCACTCAGCCTTCCTTATGGTCCAACTCTCACATCCATGCATGGCTACTGGAAAAACCATAGCTTTGACTAGAAGGACCTTTGTTGGCAAAGTGATGTCTCTGCTTTTTAATACGCTGTCTAGATTTGTTATAGCTTTCTTTCCAAGGAACAAGCATCTTTTTTAATTTCATGGCTACAGTCACCGGAGGCAGTAATTTTGGAGCTCAAGAAAATGAAGTCTGTCACTGTTTCTATTTTTTCCCCATCTATTTGCCATGAAGTGATTGGATTGGATGCCATGATCTTAACAGGCCAAGATGCTTGTGAACTCTGCTTGATGGAAAACCCCTGCACTGGCTGGCTGTGGACATTGAACGCGCTTCAGTCCCTCCCAGTGGACAAAGATAGTGGTGGCCTCAAGAAGGTAGGGACAGTGTCTTCAAAATACAAAACAAAGGTGGGAGAAAAAGCAGCAGCTTGAGGTGCTAGGTGAAGGACTGAGAAATCACAGGAGCTGGACACTCAACTCATGTATTTGAAAACACATCCTTTTCCCCATGGCAATCGGTCACAAAGAGAAACAGTAATGAGTCATACCAGTGACACACCAAATTAAAAAAAGAAGAAAGAAAGAAAAAGGAAGAAGGGATGTTGGAAAACTGAGTAAGCACAGACTTTGTCCAGGAAGAAAATGCCAGAGTTGAGAAGTCTCAGTGGGAAGCACATTAGCTCCCAGCCTGGAGTGATTCACAACTGGAGTAGAAATTGCAAGGTGAGAATCCAGTCACCTGCCTCTTCATTCATTCATTTCATTTCATTCAACAATTATCAGCTATCTCTCAATCATGCTCTGCAAGAAGCAGCAAGAATACACACGTGGAAAAGACACAATCCCTGACCTTGAGAGCAGCTGTGAAAGAAAGGGAAACAAAGATGTCACTGATATTTGCCATAAAGTGGAACAAGGGCAAAGATAAAGACTCATACAAGATGAAGTGTGACACAAAGAGGCGGGAGAGGGACCAGAAAAGGTTTCTCAGAGATAGAGCCGTGTCTTAAAACAGAGTTGGAGTCCCCCAGGCCGCAGGTGCCTGTGTGCAGGGACAGGAGTTCTAAGGAAGAGGAAAACGGTACATTTAAGAACAAGATGTCTTTGGGCCTTCCCTGGGGTGCAGTGCCTTCCAATTCAGGGGCCCCCAGGTTCGATCCCTATTTGGGACCCTAAGAGGAGCAGTGGGGCAACTTAGCCCAAGTGCCACAAGTAGAGAGAAGTCCATGTGCTGCAAGTAAAGATCCCACGTGCTGCAACTAAGACTTCACACAGCCAAAAATAAAGTAAATAAATAATTTTTTTTTTTTTTTTTAAAGAACAAGGTGTCTTTGGGGACAGTATGGAGTTGATAAAGCTAAAGCCTACAAGGGAAGGCAGAGAGGTGGGTAGAGACCAACAGTGGGAGGATCTCCTTTGTGGGAGAGGAGTCTGGACTCCATCCTGGAGGTGTGAGGAGCCACGGGGTGGGGGTGGGGGGTAGGGAAGGGTTTGAACAGAAGAGTGACACCATCTCATTTGTGGTTGCATGCCTACTCATTCGCTTCGGTCATGTCCGACTCTTGTGACCTCATGGACTATAGCCCACCAGGCTCATCTGTCCATGGGATTCTCCAAGCAAGAATATTGAACTAGATTGCCGTGCCCTCCTCCAGGGGATCGTCCCCATCCAGGGATCAAACCCGGGTCTGCTCTGCATGCAGATTCTTTACTGCTGAGACACCAGGGAAGCCCCATTTGTGGTTAAGAAATATCTTTCTGATATCTTCCCATTAACCAGCCTTGAAGGACAGCCTGAAAGGGATTGAAAGGTAGAAGGATGGTCTGTTCAGATGGTTTAGATGAGCAGCCAGTGGTGAGAACTTGGAGAGGAGGGGTTATTGAGTTTAACTCCCGTCCCTAAAGGGCACTGTGGCCAGGAAGAATTCCTAGCTGCCAAGTCACTTAAGCCTCTTACAGGATCAAATTCCTTATCCTTAAAATGAAGAAAATATGAGTCACCAACAAGGTCCTCCCTTGCAGAGAGCATGAGACAGTTGATCAGGCCCTCTCTCCGCAGACAGTGGGACCTCACCGAGGACCCTGGAGAAGGGGTGCAGCCAGGTGTGAAGAGGTGGTGAGCGGGGAGCCCTCCCTCTGCCCCACTCCCAGTGTCAGCCCAGCCCCTGATCCCCAGCTCCTTTTCCTCTTCAGAGGAATTGTTGAGGCCACAAAGAGGAAGCAAAGTGGAGGGTGCTCTTAGATGCCCAGGTCAGCGTCTTAGTCCCCTGCCAGCCCTGGTGTGATTCAGTTACAAGAAGTCACACAGGCGTATCCTCAGCTTTGAAGTCACAGGGGCCTCTAAGCAGAGCCACTTGGAGCTGTCACCCTCGCCCGTGTCTCCCCTGAAAAGCTCTAGTGAGCAGTGGAGAGAAAGCTTTAATGGGTCTCAAACACACACACACAGTCTCATCCCCAGTTTTGGATTAAGGAGCTCGGTGATTTTAGACAAGTTAATTGTGTGTGTGCGCTTAGTCGCTCAGTCGTGTCCGACTCATTGCGACCCCATGGACTGTAGCCCAGCAGGCTCCTCTGTCCATGGGAATTCTCCAGGCAAGAATACTGGAGTGGGTTGCCATGTCCTCCTCCAGAGGATCTCCCAACCCAAGGATCGAACCCAAGTCTCCCTCATTGCAGGCGTATTCTTTACCGTCTGAGACACCAGAGAGGCCCGAGTTAGTTCCACGCGGTCAATAGATCCCAGGCGGGGACAGCCCCGCCGGTTCGCCGACGGCTCCCTTGGACACCTGCCCTCGCCGTGAGGCCACATCGCCTTTCCCGAACCTTTTCCTTCTCGGTCCCAGGCGCCGCCCTGACCCGGGACAGGCGAGACTGCGGAGGGCCGGGCGGCGGGAGGTTGGCAGCAGCCCAGGGCGCCCCCGCGCTCTCTGGAGCAGAAGTGAAGGGCAAGCGACTGCGTCAGCGCGAAGAGAGCCGGGCGCGACCCAAGCCCGCTGCGCGCGGAGGCGCTGGGCCCCGGAGGCCCGAAGGGGCGCCCGGCATGTGGGACCCCCAGGACTTTGAGCGCCACTGGCGGGCCGAGTTCCCTGGGGAGGAGGTGCCCGTTATGCAGCTGGACTCGGTGCTGGACATGGAACGCGAGCTGGAGCGCAGCAAACTCAAACTGAAGTGGCTGCAACAGGTGCTGGCCGAGGAGAAATTCAAGGCCGTCTACCTGCAGGCGGCCCTGGAGAAGCGGGACCTCGGCTGCGGGCGCCCGGAGGGCGGACTCGGCGACTGCGGGGGGGCCTCCGCGGAGGAGCCGGCGCTGGCCCGACCGGAGCGGGAGCCGCCGCCGCGCGAGAAGGAGAGCGCAGCGGGCGGTGGTGGAGACCACCGGGGCCCCTCGCTTCCCGACCCGGCGGTGGCCGCCAAGACCGAGAGTACCCCCTACGCGTGCCTGGACCTTCCCACGTGGCCCGGGGCGGCGGGGGCCGGGGGCGCGGTGCGCAGCCTGACCGCCGCCATCCACCAGCAGCTCCTGCAGCCTCGCCTCCTCTTCAGGCCCCGGGAGGACTGCGCGCCCCCTGGCCACCGTGGCACGGCTCCCAGCGCCGGGGGAGAGGAGCGGTCCGCCGGGCTCCGCGCGGGGCGGGGCTCAGAGGAGGGCGAGGCGGACGCCGCCTCGGGCGCGGATGATGGGGGCGACAGCAGTGACCACGATTTCGAGATGGTGGATCTCAACGAGAAATTCGCCCTCAGCCAGTTGCTTGTGGCCCCTTGCCGGCCCGGGACCTGCGATGAGGCCGAAAAGCCGGCGCGGGCGTACGGTTCCCATCGCTGGATGCACCTGATCCTCGGGGGCCGGCGGCAGGTGCGCGGGAGTCGGGACCTGGAGCAACTGGAGGCAGAGGCCAAGGACGGGCGGGGCTCGCCCCCGGCGGCAGAGGAGCCCCCCCGGCGTCGGGCTCGCGAGCACCTCCCCCAGTGGCGGCGCAAGAGGTTCCTAGGGCTGACCGAGCGGGACTCGCCCAGCCACAGCTCGCCCGAGAGGGGCAGTGACTGCAGCCGCAACAGCTCCGACCACGAGGACAGCTCCTTTCCAGGTAGGCGCACCCCAGCGTGCATCCTCGCCTCTTGTATTCTGTATCTTGAACCCCCCACCCCTTCCTGGCACACCCTGATGGTCCTGTTTGGCCTCAGGCGCCTGAGCAGAAGGGAGATAAGATTTACGTGTTTACGTTGAAGGCACTTGTAGTACTTTAAAAAAATGATAGTGCGAAGTGGATTTCGGTTGGGCGAGTTTAAGAAAATAAACATCACGACGATGACAGGGGATGAAAAGATGATGCCCTCGACCACACCGTGGGAGGAATCTTTCACTTGGGACCTCAGCCTTTCTATTTCATTGCAGCATCACTGCCACCCCCACCCTCAGCTCATCCTCGCAGGTCGGTCAGATTCCTCGGCGCCACAACTGATAAGGTATCCTTCCCTCCACAGACTCCAGCGGTTCTCATTTCCCCAGGTTCCTCGATATGGAAGTCTCAAACTTCCACTTAATTTTCTGAACGGCTCTCGCATCTTCTCCAGCCTGTAACTTGTGTTCTGGCCAAAATGAAGGAAGCTCTCACCGTGGGAAAGGCTCATAACCCTCACTACACCCATCCTTTGCTGACTGTCCCCTTCCTAAAAGGCAGCGCCTGGTCTGTTGGCTTCCTAGGAGCCTGAGTGGGAAGGGGAGAGCTTAGAATCATAGAGTTTTTGAGCTGGCAGAATGACCAGAGATCATGCCTACAGGCCTTCATTTGATAAAGGAGGAAACCTAAGCTCAGAAAGATTAAGTGCTTGTCGGAGCCAGCTGGGACCTCCCCTGGGGCCTCCTGTCATTTTCTTGTTTCTCTTCATATCTGCCCTCTCTTCTGAGGACAGGACCTGGGCTTTGCCATCTTGTGGTGGAATCCCCTTTCAGTGGTCAGCACGGTGCCTTGCATGTAGTAATGCTCAATACGTATTCATTGAATAAATGGATGATTGCATTGAATTGAATGCAGTCTTCTGGCCACCCCACTCCCCACGGGTTAGGAATGGGAAAGGGGCCCAAGAGGATAAGACAGATAGGAATGTGGGCTGTCCTGTGACCAACCCTTTGCTGCCCCAGGGACTGTCAGAGTCTCCTCAGCCATAGGGAAAGCATAAACTGTCCTCTGGTTGGGTCAAGCCTGGAACTTAAGATGTTTTCCCTATTCAGTGAAGGATTAAAAAAAAAAAAGAAGAAATCACTGATGCTGGGATTCTTCCAAAATCTCCATTATTAGATCTTATCTGGGTGAGCTTGCATTTGAATGAAAAACTGTCCACTTTGCTAAAAGCACATTTGGAAGGGCCATCAAGTCATCTGTTGTGATCAATTACACTTATTCATTAGCAGAGATTGGCTGCTTCTCCCATAGGCAATGCTTTTGCTGCCCATGCTAGTAACATTTTTATGTGCCCCGTTTAACTTAGAGTCTGAAGATTTCATTCTAGTGCCAAGTTCCAAATGCCCTCCATAGAGACTACCCCAGGGGCCCAGGGCCGCTTTATAGCTGGCTCCAGTCCCGTCTCCCACTAGACCCACATCAGTCACTCTGCCCGATGTTCCTGATGCACTGCTCTTCCCCCAGGTAGTGGTTTGATTTCTGTGCGCTCCTCTCCCCTGAAGGGCACTGTAGCACATAGAGCACCTTGATTCAGATTGGAAACTAATTCCCTCTGCCCTAACAGTTTACAAGAGGTGGTCTCTCTGGGTGGACCAGTGATTAAAAAAAAAAAAAAAAAAATTCCCTTCCTCTGAACTGAAGACTCCAGCCAGGGCTCATGTCTGGCACTCCTGGCATTGGCTCATGGTGCCTGGGCTGGTTTTCAGGCTCCATTCCAGGACCGTTCTGCAGGGCAGGCTTGTGTAGGGAGCTCTTGGAAAGCTGCATGTGGGGGCCTTGCCTCCTGTTGCCCAAACCTTCCTGGTGAGGAAACAAATAGAGGTGGACATGCATATTCATGCAGGCATGCAACACATCCATGCATGCCTGTAACAAGTATCCACACGTTCACATGGTCACATACGAGTGTTACATGCACAGAGTCTAGGCAGAGGAGCCCTCAGACATACCGAGGGTGCTGCAGTGGAGAGGTTACAGGACAGGCTTTTCCAGCTGTGGGTGACAGCCAGCCCACTGGAATCGGCGTGATGGGGAGAGAAAGTGTCATAGGCCTTCTCTGGCTACCTGCCCTTGGCCTTCCCTCCTTCACTTCTCTCCATAGCTCTTGCCAAATTACCACCTCAGATGCTACAATTTTGCACGTGGATCTTATTCATTCTCTCTCTCCAGTAAAATGCAAGCTCCAAAGGGCAAGGATTTTTATCTCTCATCCCCTGACATAGCCCCCAAAGCCTAAGAGTGTCTAACACATAATAGGTGTTCCATAAATATTTTTTGAGTGATAGGTTTTTTTTAATTTTAATGGAATAGAATGGAAAACATCAGAGTGCATTGCACACAGTAATGGTGAGTAGTAGTCTGCTTTAAAACTTTGTTTCGGTTCTGTATACTTGTGAATGTATACTGGGTGCTGATGTAGAATGTATTTCATGCTAAGGGCTGGGTCAAAAGATTTGAAAGTACTGATAAAGACCATGGGCTCTGAAGCTAGACTGCTTGTATGACCTTGGGAGAAGTTATTTGAATTTTCTGTGTTTTGGTTTTCTCATCAGTTAAATGAGACTAATAAACACAGATTACGTCATACCATTGATATGAAGAAGAAATGGGATATCATTTCTAGAGGGCTTTGAACAGGGCCTGGCAATAGTAAGTACCCATAGTATTAACAAACTATAACTAATTACAACTCTTGGTCGTTTTCTTTAAGTCAGTGCTTCAGAGCTTTCCACTCTCAGATCATTCTGGATCTCAGGTGGTTTGGTTTTTTATAGTGCATGTGTTTTTTTTTCCTAGCCAGGCTCTGACTCTTTCTAGAACCTTCCAGAAGCAGGGCAGGACCCAGGGCAGAGTGGTGATCTTGGCTCATGAGGCTCTCTAGCTGGATTGGCCCTCAAACCCCTCCCTCTCCACCAGGAATCATGCCCATTGTCGCTACTCAGAGAGCCTCGCCCCATCGGGTTTTATTGCACAATTCAGGCTTTGCCTTCTTCTCAGAGTTTCAAGGAGAGAGACCATGTGAGACCTCACGTAAAAAGGCCCAAAGGCAGAAGTGCCTCCCTCCTTAGAAAAGGGTTGTTTTCTCTTAGCTGAGGGGCAGACCCCCATACCAAGACACATTGGAGTTTGTTCTACACATAGACAAATCAGGGTTTAAGTTAGAATGCCAGGTCTTCTTTCTTTATTTTTTTGAAGTGTTTATTTGGCCGCCACAGGTCTTAGCTGCATGGCGAGGTGTATTCTTAACCCCTGGACCATCAGGGAAATCCCTAGAATACCAGTTCTTTTAGCATCTTCCAGTTAGCATCTTATTGCCCTGTTGGTACTGAGGCCATGGATGGCATGAATGAAGGTGGTGATGTGAATGGGGTGGGGGTGGGGTTGCAGAGCTGGAATCAGCCTTGTTGGGTCACGTGTGCTGTGAAGACAGACCCATGAGTGTGCCCAGGCTCAGCCCTGCAGCAGGTGTGAGGCCGTAAACAAGCCGCTGGCCTTTCTACATCTCAGTCTCTATTAACAGAAATAACAAGAATAGCTAACGCTTCCTGAGGGCTTGCCTTGTGCCTGTTCCTGTTCTAAGCATTTTACACCTATTAACTCATGTATACCACACACCAGTTTCATAAGATAGGCCCTATTACTGTTTCCATTTTATGTATGAGAAGCGTGAGGCTCAGAGGGCTTAAATAAACCTGCCCAGGGTTACCCAGCTTGGGTACCTTGGTAACCCACAGGGTTACCCTAAGTGGCACTTAGGATTTGAATGCACGCAGTCTGACTTGCAAGTCTGTGCCTTTAAACACCAAGCTATACTGCCTCCAATGATAGCATTTACATCTCAGGGTAGTTATGAAAATGACATACAATAAAATACTTAAAGAGTTGACTTTATTCACACACTGACCTTTAAATACATATGTGTGTATATATGTGTATCCATTATTATTATTTTGTCACTAAAGTCCCCAACAGACCCCAGTTCATTTGCTGAGGTCAACCATGAGGGCTGCTGCTTGCCCATGGGACTCCTTGTGGACTTGGCCTCACAGGTGAGCAGTCTGCCTGCTGGATTTTAGGTCTCCTCTCCTCATCTGGGAGCTCTTGGGCTCCCAACAACTGCCCAGCCACGTGTGGAGGCCCTGATATTTTCACTTTCATGTGGGCATGCTTCTGTATCACCCCTGCTATCTGTCACCCTGGGTGACATGTCCTTCTTCAAAGTTTATGTGTCCCTTCTGTAGACTGTGGTGTCCCCTCTGTGACACGTGGACCAAAGTACACTCTCCCAGCAAAAGCCCACGTCAGGCATCCTTTTGACTGGCAGTACCATTCATCTGGTGTTCTGGTCATCATTCAGATGACAAAGTAAATATCATTCATATTTTAAATTGATAGCTTTTTTTTTTTTTTTTGCTTGCATTAAACTTGGCTTAGTGGAGGATAAACAGTCTTTTTTTTTTGCCGACCCTTAAAAATCCTTCATTCATTCACTCATCCATTCCACTCGACAAGGATTTACCCGGGTCTTGCTTTGTGCCAGGTCTGTGTTAAGGGTCAAGACTGCAGAAGTCGGTGACCTACCCTCAAGATTCTCATTGGCCTCTTTGCTTCTAGGGTAGAAACTTTTTTGCTTCTTCTCTTTAGATAAAGGAACAACTTTCCAGCAGGTAACTTGTTAAATCCTGAAATGAGTGACTAAGTAAGGCCTGTCATTTAGAACCTCAGCGACACGCAAGGGCCTAAATGAGAAAGGATCTTAGGTTTGGTCTAAGAGTCTTCCTGTGCCTCCCCAGGCAGATGAGGATCCTCGAGCCCTGAGAGTAATAACCTCAGGGTCACACATTCATGACCCTCAAGCAGGGTCCAGGAGCCAGATCAGGGCTCTTTCCATTGAGGCCTATGGTCTTTTCTTTCTTGGAATTTTAAGCCGAGAACGCTTAAGATGTGAGTCCTGTTGAAATCATAGTAACAGGAGCAGTAGACTGTCTCATTTAACCTCATTTAGTGGGTGGAACGGAGAAGGCAATGGCACCCCACTCCAGTA